CAATAGTGTTAGAATATTATTAGTAGGAATAATACACATACATACAAGAGTAAGTGCCTAATTTGACCCTAAAAGAAAAAGGCTTAGGTTCAGTAAATTTCCTAAGCTTTCAAAGCTAGGATTTAAATGAAACATTCTGACATATAAATCTTTGTTCTTTACCGTGATGATATATTATAACCTGAAACAGAGAAATAGGAGTAAATTAGCAAGCTGAAGGAGGAAAATTATTTTTGCTATCAGGAATAGGAAGAAAAGAATCGTTATTTTTTTTTGCATTGAATTATTTCCAACTCAATCCAATCATGTTCAGTCCTGGGCATATACGTGGAGTCCCATGTATGTCTCCTAGATGTTCCCAGATGGGTGGGTAGCTATGGCCTCACCTTCTGAAGCAGTGAGCTGCTGTCAGGATCCACATGTCACTGATCAGGATGCCTCCACAGTGGTGAACATTATTCAGGTGTAGACTGACTTGCCACGGCCAGTCTCCTTCCTCAGCCCTACTGCCTCCTATGATTCTCTCCTCAGACAATGTTATTAGGTCTGGACGGGCCCCACATTCTAAATGAGAAAAGGGGATTAATGTGCTAGGTAGATCATAATTCGTTCATTTGGAAGATGCTGTAAAAGTCTCCAACATTTACGACTTTTCTGTCTTTTCTGTATTCTTCCCCAGGACATGCTAATCTTTCCAAAAGCACGATCAATATGTTGTATTTTTAGAGTATTTATGTGACTACCATTGACTATGGACTGCATTTTAGAGAACATTTCTGAATTTAATTGGCATGTGGGCTTCAAAATCTGGAGCAGCTTCAGAATTCTCTGGAATGAGTAAGGATTAAGATAGGTCAGTGGTGGATGTACTAGCTCAGGCCATGGGTTCACTAGGAAATTTCCATCTTCTCTATAGCCTTGCTACTCAAAGTGTGGTCTGTGGACCTGCATCATGGGCATCCCCTGGGAGCCTATTGGAGATACTGATGCTGTGTGGAAACAACCTAAGTGTCCGTCAATGGATGAATTGATTGAGAAAATGTAGTGTGTATACAAAAAAAAAATGGAGTATTGTTCAGCTTTAAAAAAGAAGGAAATCCTGTCATTTGCAACAACATTAATGAACCTGGAGGGTATTTTGCTAAGTGAAATGAGCCAGACAAAGACAAATACTGCATGGTATCACTAATATGTGGAATCTTAAAAGAAAAAAAATAAGTCAAACTCATAGAAACAGAGAGTAGAAAGTGGTTACCAGGGACTGGGGGATTGGGGAAATGGGAGATTTTGGTAAAAGGATACAAACTTTTAACTATAAGGTGAATAAGATCTGAGGATCTAATGTATAACATGGTGACTATAGTTGATAACACTATACTGCATAATTGAAATTTTCTGAGAGAGTAGAATAAATGTTCTCACCAAAGAAAAAAAAAGGGGGGTAAATATGTGAGGTGATGGGTGTGTTACCTAACTAGATGCGGAGAATCTTTTCACAATCTATACATATATCAAATCATGGTGTTGTACACTTTAAATATCTTACAATTTTATTTGCCAATTACATCTCAAAGCTAAAAAAAATAAAGAAATATTGACTCTCAGATCCACACCAGAGAGTGAATCAGAAGCTACATTTCCCCCCAAGTTTATGGAGGAATAATTGACAATATAATTGTATATTTTTAAAGTATACAACATGGTGATTTGATATGCATATACATTGTTGAATGATTACTAAGATGATGATAACTAACACATCCTTCACCTCACATAGCTAACTCTTTCTGTGTGTGTGATGAGAGTGCTTAAGATCTACTCTTAGCAACTTTCAAGAATCAATATCATGTTATTAACTATAGTCACCATGCTGTACATTAAATCCTCAGAACTTATTAGAGGCTACATTTTAATGAGTGATTCATGTGCACATTGCAGTTGGAGGAAAACTGTTCTTATCAAGAAGACTCTGGGAGCTGGCCCCATGGCCAAGTGATTAAGTTCACACACTTGGCCTCAGTGGCCCAAGATTTCACTGGTTTGGATCCTGGGCACAGAACTACACACTGCTCATAAAGCCATGCTGTGGCAGCATCCCACATGGAAGAAATAGAATGACTTACAACTAGGATATACAAGTATGTGCTGGGGCTTTGGGGAAGGAAAAAGAAAGAGGAAGATTGGCAACAGATGTTAGCTCAGGGCCAATCTTCCTCACCAAAAACTTAAAAAAAAAAAGAAGAGTCCGTAGTGGTAATGCAGGTCATTATGGAGGTTTATGTTCACCTCTATAACTAACTCTATGTTACCAATTGTGTCCTTGAAAAGGAGTTACTTTAGGTCCACAGAATGTTCTTGAAGGTAGCTGAGGGTTTCTAAGTATCTAGATGAGGTTTATTTAAACATCTCAAGAGAGCCTATGAGTACTCCAATTGCTAGGCTGAAACGGGAGGGGAGGGCAGAGAGTGGGCTGATCACTTAATTCCTCTCAACTCCCATTCCCATGATTTATTTACTCTTGTTTAGTTGATTACTAAGAAACTAGAGGTAAATCATCACCAACAATTTCTATTGTTGGACTGGCTCTAAAGCAGTGACACTCCTTCAATAGGACAACCATCCCAAAGCGGTTTTTCTAACAGACTTCCTAGGTGAGGAGCACCAGACTTCCATTAAGAATATACATGAAACAGTTTCCTTTGCTTCATCCTCAACCAAGTTCTCTAGTAAATTACTTAAGTGCATTTTCATTGAAAAGAAGCATGAACTAGATATAGAATGAAGTAGAAAAACACCCACAGAAGTAGCGTTACCTTGTGACAGCACTTAAGTATTTGAGATAGGCCAGCCACTGATGTACATCAAACTGATTTCTAACTACATTTTATCAGCCAGAGAAGTAAACTGCTGTTTTCTAGGGATTATGTTTCTGCTATCCTTGCCTGAGAGTATACAGAATGACATTGGAAAGCAGTGAATTCTCCTTCAGGTTATAGACATAGAACTGACAACACTTTTTATATTTTTCTTATTATACTTTATGATTAATCAAAATCCAAAACAAAACAAGCTATTCTAGTGGTTAGGAGAAGCCATATAAATGATGCCACCAAACATAATTTGCAAGTCTACAGAAATGCCATCATGGAACCAGGGCAGGAAAAACTTCCCAAAGCTGCCACAAAGTTTTCATGAGTTCAAACTTGATACAGAGTGGCATGCCATTGCTACTTCTTCCTTCTTCTAAAAGGATGGGCTAGCTTGGCCATCAGTCCATGGGCCAATGGAATCAGCAGAGTCTTATCTCCACAGCAACCCCCATGAGTGAACTACGAATAAAAATACCGCCTCAATAGGCACTGCCTTGGCAAAGAGCACGAATGACTTGAACATTTACTCTTTATATTTTGGTTAACTATATTTATAAAGTAATTTTAAAACTTACCTTGAGTGAGAATATTTACTGTATCCTGGTCAGTAATTTCTGGTGTTAAAGAAAAGTGAGAGTAAGATCAATACAATAAGGACTATGTATCATTTCACCTTAATTTCTTAAAGTGTAGTCCTCAGATAACCATGATTAAAATCACTTAGAGAGATGCTAAAAAACAAATTCCTAGGCTTAGCTCAGACTTGCTGAAAGAGTTTCTGAGTCTTAGGGCCCAGAAATCTTTGTTTACAATTTTCCCCCAATTTATTGTTATGTAAACTAAAGTCCATGCTTGAATTTCTCATCTGGCACAAAAAAATACTTAAAAGATATTTAAAAGATATCCCTGTTCTCAAGTCACTCAGTTTAGTTGGGAAAACAGCAGCATGAGCAAGTCATTGAGATACGATGTGATAAATGCTACAAAAGAAGTTAATTTTTCATTTAATCTAATATATATATATGTGTGTAGATAGGTATATCTGTATTACTCTACTGATACTATTCTCAGTAGTGCAGGTATAACAGTAAGCAAAATACAGGGAGTTTGCCCTCACACAATTTACAGATAGAAATTAATCAGGAAGCATTCAAATAAATTTAAGTGTATAGAGGAGAAGAGAAGGGAGAGAGTAGCTACTGCTCTCTGAGAGATTCCAGAAGTTATCTTGGTGAGAATAACATTTGAACTGTAGTTTGAAGACCTAAAAGGAATTTCTCAGGCAGATGAGAGGTGAAAAGGCATTCCAGGTAGAAGGTATAGTGGGCACAAAAGTGTGGGGGTGTATAATATTTGTGGAGCAATAAAGTTGGTAGAGCTAGTGCAAGTGTTGCATGAAGGGAAACGGTGGGAGAGAAAGTAGAATGGTGGGAAGGAAAAGAGAATCTGTTGGTCAGATAGCGGAGGTCTGTCTATTCCAGTTTACGTTCTGCTTGCCAGACAGTTTTCTCTGCATGTCCTACAGCCAGCTCAAACTCAGTCTGACCAAATTTTATCTAAAATTTGCTATTTATGGTATATTTCCTTTAGTAAATGGCACCACTTCCATCAATAGCTAGAAATCTGAAATGATCTCTAAATCCTCCTTTCTCATTTTTTCCACATCTTATTGGATTCAAGGTTTTGTACTTTCTAGCCTCTAACTATCCTTTGAATTAGTCCTATTCTCCCCATCCCTTTGGCTACTACTTTAGTTCATGCTTTCACATTTGCCACCTATACTATTCAATAACCTTCATACTGGGTTCCCTGCTTCCACTTTTGTGCTTCTCAGTGCGTCCACCTCTACTTTACCAGATTGATTTTTCTAAAAATGTATGTCACATGATATCCTTTCCTGCTTGAAATCTTTTAATGAGAAATCAGCTTCTTATTTCCTATAAGATAAATCTAAACTGCTGAGACAGGTTTTCATTCTCTCTAAAATCAATTTATGCAAAATTATTTGTTGCCGGAAGTTTCACAGGATTTGGGTATCACATCTGCTTTGTAAGTGTCAGAAGAGTCATAACATCCTTTTGGAGGCAGAAAATAAAAAGAGCTGATCACACCTTTTTGTTCTTTCAACAGGAGAGACTTGAATTCAAATCCTGGTTCCCCTACATACTGACTGCATGACCCTGGACAATTATCTATCTTTTCTGAGGGGGACAATAAAAATATCTATAAGATGTATTTGTTGTGAGTATTAAACAAATACATGAGCATCAGCCAGTCAGAAAGGACACAGCCAGCCATGGAACTGCAGCAGTCTTGGAGGCCCCTGTTGTGCTAACCATTAACTCTTTAGTTGCAGAGGACAGGGTAGGGATGGGCAGATTTGCAGGGGCTGGGGAAACAACTCTGTTGGCTGGTGCAGAGTTGTTTACCAACAGATAGGAAGGCATTCAATATTTTAACAAATAGTACAGCTGTAACCGGTATCTACTGATTGAATACCAGTCCACTGTGGGAGCTACCAAAATCCTTTAATCTTGAGCTTATTACGAGGGAATCACAGTTTATTAAACTGGCAGTACAGGACAAAATTAGAGGTGTGTCCTTAAATTCTATGTACGTGTTAAGTAATTCCTTTCTTTTAGTCATGCAACAAATATTAATGGAGTATCTATTATGTGCTAAATACTGGGTGGTAGAAGGACAGTAGGATGAACAAGGCAGACTTGTTCTTGCCTTTAGAAAGCTTAAGGATGAAGATAAACAATACAAAAATCACGCAAATAATTTTGTAGTTTCAGTTGTGATAAATGTTATGAAGGAGTCTGTGACACAGGTAAAGGATTGAGAAATGGAATTACAAAAGGCTTACACTAGAAAGGAGTGATTCAGATGAGACCTGATGGATGTGAGGGTGTGATCTAGGGAGTGTTATAAGAAACTGGAACAACGTATGCAAAGACCCTGAGGCGGGAAAGAGAGAAGCTTGGCAAATAGAGAAAATGAAAGTGTGGCCAGATTATGGTGAATGAGGAAAAGAGTGATATAATAAATGGCTGGCAGGCTAAGTATGAACCAGATCATGCAGTGCTTTAGATGAGATGGCCATATTATTTATTGTCCAAACCAGGACACTTAGGGAGCGATATTAATAATGGTTCTTGCACAGTTGGCATGAACTGAGACTGTCCTGGGCTAACCGGAAAATATGATATCCCACTTGCAGGTGATATTTTGGTGGGGAGCTATGGGAGACTTTTAAGCAAGATTGTATTTGTATTTCCTTGATCAATATGTGGACAGCGAATTGGAAGGGGCCAAGAAATTATATAAGAAGTAGTAAGGAGGCTAATGCAGTAGTTCAGGTAATAAATGATGTTAGCTTGGACCAGAGTGACAGGATAAGGAGGGAAAACATGGAAACTGATTCAAGACAGGCAGAAGGAGAGAGGATAGTCAGAGAGGAGACAGGGAAAATCCTAAGTCTTCTAATTTACTTGTTTATTCTATAAGTATTTACCGGATACCTTCTGATTGTATGATCTGTTCTGGGTGAGGTGAATCATAAATTAAATTGTTCTCTGACCTTGAGCAGCTGTTTACCATTCTGATAGCATACCTACAATTGAACAAGTCACAACAACATCCTTCCAAAGAAGTGTTGAAAGGGGAAATTAATGAAGAATTTTTAGAGAATAAAATTTCCTATATGAATGCTAAATGATTCTATAAACTTCGGAATGTTTCATATTAGAGAGCTATATATTATATCTATCTAGCTTTATAATATATTGTTTTCATAAAGTCAGTCTCATTAAATTAAAATGTGAATTATAACTGGTTAAGTTGAGGGATGTATTGAAATAAAATGGTATATAAAAAATGGTACTTGCGTGTTATCTCAGTTGAAGGGTTTATTTCCAAGTTTCCAGAGTTATTCAGTACTTGGTGTAAAACAGCCTCAATTCTTCTTTTCATTAATGCTCCACTGTTTGGTCTAGTGAATTTAAATTTCATGACAGTATCTGCTATCACACCACTACCACTTTGCCTGAAAACCATAAAGATATTTTTAAAAATGGGTAATTATGATAATTTTCTGCTGTTCTATTTATATACTCTTCTTGATTAAAGATTAAAAAATTTTTACTCGAGGAATTTAACTTTAGAACATATTCACATAACACTGTTTGCATATGTAATGACATATCACAATGCTGTCTCGCAAATATTTGATTTCAGTGCATAGTACACTGTACCCACCATTCAATATAGCTGGCTTGGAAGCCAGAATGCCAGAGTTTGAATACCAACTCTACCCTTTACTGTTTGACTTTGGGTAAGTTATTTGTTTCTTAATCTTTCTGTATCTAAGTCTACTCACATTAAAATGGGTTGTTATGAAGATTACATGAATTAATATATGCAAAACTTTTGGGAGGAGTACATAGCATACAGTAAGTGTACTGTAAGTATTAGCTATTATTAGACTTCACAAATCTTCAGAAAAAAACAAACTACAATGAGATATCACCTTATACTTAACTATAATTAACAAGACAAAAAATAACAAATGTTGGAGAGGATATGGAGAAAAGGGAACCCTTATACACTGCTGGTGGAAATGCAAACTGATGCAGCCACTACGTAAAACAGTATGGAGATTTCTCAAAAAATTAAAAATAGAAATATCATGCAATACAGCTATCCCACTACTGGGTATTTACCCAAAGAACATGAAATCAACAATACAAAGAGATTTATGCACCCCTATATTCATTGCAGCATTATTCACAATAGCCAAGACTTGGAAGCAACCTAAGTGCCCAACAACTGATGAATGGATAAAGAAGATGTGATATATAGATATACAATGAAATATTATTCAGCCATAAAAAGGACAAAATCATCCTGTTTGCAACAACATGGATGGACTTTGAGGGTATTATGTTAAACAAAATAAACCAGACAGAGAAAGACAAAGACCATATGATTTCACTCATATGTGGAAGATAAAAAAACACATGGATAAGTACAACAGATTAGAAGTTACCAGAGGGGAAAAGGAGAAGGAGTGGGGAGAGCAAAAGGGGTAAAGATGTATGTATGTGTATATGTATGGTGATGGATGAAAACTAGACTATTCGTGTTGAGCAAGATGCAGTGTATACAGAAATTGATAAATAATGTACACCTGAAACTACACAATATTATAAACCAATATGACCTCAATAAAAAAAAGTCAATGGATGGGTTACACATAATATTAGACAAAGCTGAAGACAGAGATGAAGAAATCACATGGAAGGTAAAAAAACAGATAAAGAGATGAAAAGAATCAAATAGAGGCTAAGAGACAGGAAAGGGCTCAATGTTTACCTAATACAATACTAAAGAAGATCACACAAAAATAAAAGAGTTGCAATATTCGAAAAGATAATGAGAATTATCTAGAATTGATGAAGATCACAATGAGTCTGAAACATACTAAATAAAAGAAAACCCACACACAAATAGTATGTCATCACAAAACTCTGAACTCCAAAGACAAATGGAAGATTTTTCAAAGAACAGAGAAAATATTAGCTACCAAAGAACATTTTGACTGAAGGGCAATTTCTTAATAGCAACAACGAAAGGCAGTATATAATCGTACCTTCAAAGTTCTGAGAAAAAATAGCTATCTACTTAGAATTTTATATCCACACTAAAGTGTTAGTCAAGAATGAGGCTAAAATAAGGACAGTTTTCAGATCAAAGCAAAACAAAAAAATGTATAGTTTATTGCTTATGTACTCTTGTGAAAGAATTTATAAAGGAAGTACTTCAGTAAGAAGGAAATTGAACCCAGAAGGGGAGTGTAAGGTACAGGTACGGGAAGAAATAGGAGCAAAGAAAATGGAAAACTGATAATCTAAAAAGACATTGACAGTTACGATGGCTAATTTGGAGTCATTACAAATAAAGTGGAACTTAAAACATCATTAATAATAGCATGAATAAGAGTTTCAAGTTCCCTGTATTATCTGAAAGCAAGGGTAGTGGATTAAGCCAACTCTCTCTGTTTAAATTTTAAGGATAATTACTAAAATAAGATAAATGGGATGTAGAACTTCAAATTAGTCAAAGAAGAAAAGAAAATGAGGAAAACTCAATCATACCAAAAAATGGGATAAGACAGTAGGAAAAAGAAGCATAGAAAAAGCAGGATAAAGAACACAAAATTATATAGAACACAAAATAAATCCAAATGTAACAGTCATCACAATAAATGTAAATTCCAGTTGAAGGTAAAGAAGATCAGGACGCATTAGAAAATGTAATCTAGCTGTCATCTTACTTCAGGAGAAATATCTAACCTATAAATATAGATAAATATTGAAAATAAAAGGGTGGATAAAGATATATTGGAAAATAAGAACCATAAGAAAGTCAATGTAGCCATAATAGTATCAGACATAAGTGATTTTAAGATTAAAAAACATTAGAGATAAAAAAGATTAATACCTTGATAAAAGATAATTCATTTGGAAGATATAACAATTCTAAACATATAGGCACTTGATAATATGTCCTTAAAATATATTGAACAAGGAGAAATAAACAAAGCCATAGTGGTAGATTTTATGTGAATGACATAATTATTAAGATTAATAGGAAGGAACAGAATTCATCATCCAGAAACTGACTCACAGATATATGTAAACAACGTATCATAGAAGTGGAATTACAAATCTGAAAGAAAGTGACTCATATGGAAGAAATAAATTAGATCTCTACTTTATACTGTACACAAACAAAGCACCTGAATATGAACAGCAAAAATTTAAAACTACCAGAAAATATGGGAGAATGTCTTTATATACAGGAGGAGGAAGGATTTCTTAAATGACATTTTGCAACTGATTTTCCACAACAGAAGATGCCATAAACACAGTGTAAAGATGTGCTTTAGGCAGGGAGAATATGTTTGCAACTCAGAAAGTGACAAATGATTGGTACCTACTATTCATACAGGACTCCTATGGATCAATAAGAACAACACAAATAATAGAAAAAAATGGAAAAGATATGAATTTGTAATTCAAAGAAGAGGGATCCTTAGTGAATGATAAACATAAACAGATGCTCAAACAGGACTAAGTGTTTTACACCTACTAATTTATTTGATCTTCATAGCAACTCTATCAGAGAGTCATGCCCCTTCCTCTTGGGAACTGTGAGTTAGAAACTGTCTTTTCAAGGGTAATCATCTCCTAATTTGTTGGCCTTACTATACCTCAAATTTTTCATTAACACACTAGATTTTAAAACACAAAGGAAAGGGGAAAAAGTGGGATGTGTGTTTGCATGTGTGTATGTGTGTATTTCAGACAGAGGGAATAGCTTAAATGAAGGTCTTGAGATTAGGGAGAATGAAGAACTCAAAGTAGTCTAACAGGACTGGTGAGTAAAGAGCAGGATGGAGACTAGTGAAAGATAAGCCCAGAGATGGAGATGGTAGGAGGATGTCAGATAAAGGAGTGTTTAGTAAACTTTGTTTTAAAATTTTCGCTACTCTCCAGACCTTCCTGTATCTGACTTCCTCCCACCGTCTCTGTCTCTGGGCTTATCTTACACTACACTCCACCCTGTTCTTTACCCACCAGTGTAAATGTCGCAGTGTAAATGTATATACACATATACATGTATATCTATATATATACATATCCACTACATATGTATCACGATTACATATATAATATAATATATATACAGAGAATATATATTTATTTATTTGTAATATTTGACGTATAATAAGGGTAAGGAGTGGCCATTAGAAGGATTTTAACTAAGGGAATAATATATTTAGATTGTTGTTTCAAAAAATCTTTCTGGCTGCTATGTAGAATGTGAAGTGCAGCAAGACTGGAGGAAAGGAGTCTCCAGGAGAGAGAAGGTTGACGACAGTGTGTTTGAAGAAAAGTTATGAATCTTAGAGATATTTAGGAAATAGAATTGTGAAGATTAGATTATTGGATCCGTGGGTTGAAGGAGAGACAGGAAATAAAGATGATTCTCATATTTCTTTCTTGAGAAATTGGGTTGAAGGTGATGGCATTGATAGAGGTAGGCAACATTAGAAGAGTAACATATTTGGTGGGGGAGAGGATGGGTTCAGGTCTGGACATATTAAAGTTGAGTTGTCTGCAAGATATCCATATAGTTGTGTATATTCATGTCTAGAGATAAGAGGAGACGACTGGCCCAGAGATACAACTCTGAGAATAATCAGCACATAGGTGGCAAGGAAGCCGCTGAAAGGAGAGAATAAGAACTGAGAAGATGAAAGGCTTATAGCACAGCTTGACATTCAACAACATTTGAGAAATGTACAGAGAAGGAATAAAAACTAGCAAAGAAATTGAGGAGTAACTGGAAAGGTAAGAGAAAATCAGGGTGTTTATGGTCATAGAAACCACAGGATGGCACTATTTCAAGGACAATTCAAAGTCCAACAGGTCCAAATACTGTTGAGAGGTCCAAACAGAGGACTGACATGAATTCTTTGGAGTCTGTGATGTGGCTGTCATTGTTGAACTTGGCAAGAACAATTAGCATTTTGCGGTGGGGTCAGAAGTGAGAATGCAGGGGATTGAGTGGTAAGTGGGAAGTGAACAAAAGGAGAGAAAATGTACATGGCTCATTCAGTCCTACAAATTTTGCGAGCTATTGGCTAATACAGAGAGTTCACAAGAAAGTACTAAGGTAAATGTGTACTGAACTGACTGAAATGCATTTTGCAAAATACTCTCCCTGTGGATTCTTCCTACTCCTCTAACTGCTCAACAAAACTTACCTGACCAGAGCTCTGTGCTCTTGGGTAATTACTAGGAGACTACAGA